GTCTGGTTGGACAGGTTACATATTGATAAAAGTCAGGTAGTGTCTTTTTAAGGGAGACATGGTTGAAATCACCCAGTATGAAGATCGGTGCATCAGGTGAGACAGATTGCAGTTTCTGCACCACATCATGGATGACACTGCAGGCAGAAGAGGCATTGGCATGCGGACGTTTCCCTGAAGTTCGTCCATCTTATTCCGGAGGGACTGGGCGTTCCCCAGGATCATCGAAGGCAGGGGAACCCGGTTGAGCCTCAGCTTCCTCATGCGTAACCGCACACTTCCCCTCTTTCCTCGCTTCCTCCTTCGGCTTCTCTCCCTCCGTTTATCACCACCAGTTCTTGTGTTAGGCAGTTTAAGGATGTGATCCGGAATCTGTGTCGTTATATCTGACACGTCAGCCGGCACTATGTATTTAAGTTGGAGCAGTTCATTTCTACTATACAGCAGCCTATCACCGCTAACAGTCCAGCTGTCATTCAGGACGAGCAGGAGAAACAGTAGCCAGAAACACACCGTAGGGCGAAGAAAGTCCATTTTCGCCACGCTGTCTATCAAGACTCCACAAGGAGTGTAAAGCAGAACATGAAACAACTTACAAACAACTAAAAACAACAAACAAATAAAAATACGGGGACGCCAAACTCTCTGACGGGTCGCTGCGTGCGCATGCGCCCCGAGACCCAAATAGTCTCTAAATGCAATAATAACCCTCAATCCTGCAAAAAAAACTATATGCAATATACTGTTTTTATGCAATGACTGGGTGCGTATGACTGTGTGTTTGTTATGTATGCTGCTAATGTTGTTATGTGTTTATAATTATCCTTTTTTAGATTTTTAATAGACTCAATGATGCACTGACTGGAGAGCACTTTAAATGTCGTTTCACTTGTGACAATGACAATAAAGACCTATTCTGTTCAAGTGGGTCCGTACTGAGATGTTGGCATTTGGTTTTAGGGAGATCTTGGGTCCGTACTGAGATGTAGGCATTTGGTCTTAGGGAGATCTTGGGTCTGTACTGAGATGTTGGCTACACTGTGGGCATTTTGGGCTTCATTGTGTAGATATTGGGTGTCATGAAAAAGTCCACTGCCCCCCTTAACTTTTGTAGGTACTGCAAGATTTTCAGCTTTTGACAGGGATGTTGTAGAAGCACCTTTTTTTCCCAAAATGCTGAGAAAAATCCCAGGAGGTCGGAGCTGCGGTCAAAAATTTTTTAGGACCTCATGAAAAGGGTCAAAAATAGGGTCAAAGGACACCCAACTTTGAAATCCACTTTTGCAGTTTTAATATCCAACTTCGCAGTACTAACCGAATACCGGACCCTAAGTAGGGTTAGGGGGTTAGGGTTTTATCATGAGAAGTTGGCCTTTTTTGCCTGGCTTTACCTACAAGTTGAATGTTTTTCACAACATTTGCTATGTTGGGCCTGCCATCCATTCATGTGTATTGGGGCCATTTTGCCAGTAAGCCAATATCGCAGTGCCAGTATCCAGGTATGCAGTTATTCATGGTAGTTGCATTTTTGGGCACCAGGGGGCACTTGATCAAGACTCTGGAGGCCAATATCTCAGTATCATCCAGTTTATCTTTATTAGACCCTAACAATATCAATCTTGGGCCCACAGGATCCACTCATTTAAAATGCATTGGAGTTGTCTGCAATGCTTTC